TCCCAGCAATGAGAGAAGAGTAACTAAGACACTAATCCACAGTGCAAACACAGATTTCAAATGCACAGTGCAGTACAACCCCAAACAGAAGCTGAAGTGATCTTTGAAAAAAAAAAAAAAAAACTTGAAGAAGAATTACCTGGAGTTCCTGAATCTGGCTCATAATTCCTTTAGAATGTTCCAGAAGGCATGTGAGATACAAGGAGAAGCCTTGAAAGAGAGGTAGGCATAGGTTAGTATCAATCCCATAATGCTTTGCTTCCTAACACCTTAAGGAAGCCTGTGGACACAGACAATAAGCCAGCCCCACTGTCCCATGGGGGACGTGAGCTGCCACCTGACTTCTGCTTTTACAGTGTCTGATACACTTTGGTTACACTAGAATCCGAGCCTCTTTTTAGAGGTGGAAATAAAAACTCACGTGCAGGACACTATTTTTTCTGAGTGAGAACTGCGTGCAAGACGTGCCCGGGGTGGTGATGGTGCACAGCTGAGAGACTAGGTCTACATGCCTGCTCGGCACAGGTGGGACCCCAAGCAGCAGGTCAGTGACAGTGAAAGAGCGGGGCGTGGAAGGGTCTCAGAGGAGAGAGGCATCACATCCAGGATGGGATTAAACGAGACCACTTGGTGGAAAAGCCACTGGCTGTGGGCACTGCAAGGGCAGAAGCCAGAGTGACAGGGGAGGGTGATGCACAACAGCTTGTGCTTGCCTGGGTGGGCACCCTCACTGATACGCAGCCTTTATTCTCTGAGACGTGGGAATGCCCCTTATGCAGCAAAAGGGACTTTGCAACGATGTTCCTTGTGGGATTCTGAGAGGAGAGATTATGCTGGATTAGCTGAGCTGGCTCAGTGTCTTAGAAGCAGGAAGCAGTGGGAGATTTAGCTACAGACAGACAGGGAAGTTGATGCAGCAGAGAGGAGTGCTGAAAGTGCTATGTTGCTGGCTATGGAGACAGCGGAAGGAGCCGTGAGCCAAAAAACTAAAACTCTACGAGCTGCAAAGAGGAAGTAGGTCCTCCGCGGGAGCCCCCAGCAGGAACCAGCCCTGCCCTTGGCTTGCTCCCAGGGAAAGGGAACTTAGATTTGCAGCCTCCAGAAGTAAATCCATGTTTGAAGCCACCAAGTTCACGGTTAATTTGTCATAACCACAGGAAACTAATCCGTGGGTAAAGGCAGGTAGGGGTGTGGAAGACGCAGTGTGGTGGAGGTGCTGAGAAACCCTGCAGTGGATGGGTGGGGGAGGGGAGGGGCCAGAGGTGGACTGAAGGGTTGAGGTCGCCTGGGGCAGCCTAGAACAGTAGCCTAGAATGTACCAATCTGATTTACACCTCATGTAAACATAGGAAGTGCATCCTGGGGGCGGGCCTGGCCCTCCACTGAGCGTGCAGCAGGCTGTCACTGCCTCAAGGATGAGGCCGGAGGACTCTGAGCTGTGCAGCTGCCGCGGCTGGGCCAGGACTTGGGCTCCTGTGCGGCTGCTGCAGGGTCTGAGTCAGGGTTGCTTCAGCTGCCAACCCTGCAGCTGGGTGACTCCGTGAGGTGGTAACCGGGGTGAATTAGAAGGAGCCGTGGGCTGTCCTCACATGGTGCCCCTGGTGCTGGCACGGGGGCAGCCTTCCATGCCGCCAGGATGTTCAGCAGCATCTGCAAGCCTCTGTCCTGCTGGTTCGGGAGGAGGAGCTGTACTCCCTGCTGCAGTTATTATAAGCCCCAGAGCCTCTGGACAGTGCCAGGCATCCCCTGAGTGGCAGAATCCTCTCCTCTGAGTTAAAATCAGGGAGCTCAGCTCAAAGCTCAAAGGGACAGCCAGGTATTTAGAGTCGATGCCCTCAACCAAGCATAAGACGAAGGAGAAGAGAGGACAGCCCAGTTCTCTCTAGACATGCCAGGCTTGACCCTCTGGAAGTTTGATCTCCATCCAAGGAGAGCTGCTCAGTGTGGAGCTGGTGAAACCTGGTGGCAAGGCCAGCCCTGTCCATCCGGGGATCTTTATGTGAATTAGGAGAGACTCCTTTCCCCTGGTGGTCAGACCTGGGTGCCACTTGCTGCTTCAGTCTGTCCCTGTTAAGGAAGACCTGACCTGCACTCCATCCTGGCAGCCCTGCTTGGAGACACTTGTTCTACTTGGATGTCCCCTGCAGTGTTTTGTTTTTTTTTTTTTGAACAAGGAGGCCAGGGAAGGGAGGGGAAAGGACAGCCCTGCAGGACTCACTCATGTTAGGGTTGGGGACTGGTTAAGCAAGGCTGCTGCAGACGGGCAGAATACGTCTGAAGAGAGGCAGGTGCATGGCTGTGGGGCCCAGCAGGACAGGGTTTTCAGAAGGAGAACCAGGAGCCATAGCTGGCCCTGGGGAAGGATGGCTCCTGTGAGGCCTGCAGGGGTGCCTGGGCTACCTGGCAGGGACAAGGACAAGATCAGAGAAAGCAGGAAGCTGCCAATGACCATGGGGTGTGGCATACTTCTTCAGGGCCAGAGGTGGAGTCAGGCACAGGAACAGTAGGGAAAAAGAGAAAGAAGCCATGGGTTTCAGTGGGGAGCTTCGCTTCAGGATGGTGTTGGTGCCATCTTGGAGTGTGCGTTTGGTGGCAAAGGGAAGGAGCCAGGAGGGCAAGAAAGTCTGTGGGTGCCAAAGAAAGGGGGTGTCATTCAGGATCTCAGGCACAAGGTATCCTGGGATGCAGTGAGGGGAGATGCAGGGTAGGAAGAGCTGCATCTGGGAGGAGGCCGCTGTGGGGATGATGAAAGGGAGCGAGAAAAGACGGGGACAGGGAGCGGGGTGGGAGACAACGTGCTCGTGCTTGGAGGCTTGATCTCCAAGCATGCAACTTTCTGAGACTTTGCAGCACGGAAGAGTGCAAACAATGATGTTCTAACAATGCCTGTTGAGGGCTGGTCAGATAGCTCAGCGGACTAAAGCATCTGCTTAGGCAGAGCGCAAGGGCCGAGGGTCCCATCCCGGCATGCTGTGCGGGCCCTGCCCCTGGGGCACGCTGAGACAGCGATTGAGACTGGGTATGGTGGTGCATGCCTGTAATCCCAGCACTTGGGAGGCTGAAACAGGAGGATCATGAGTCTGATCTGTATAATGAGACCCTGTACTAAATACATAATAAATAGATAAATAAATAAATAAACAAATGAATGCCTGTTGAGTATCACATACCTGCTATGTGTGGGCCCCCTGACAGGAGTTTTCTGCCTACTTTCTGACCATTATGATCAACATGGCGAGGAAGTGCTTTCATATTCACAGGAGAAATAGCAGAGGTTCACCCAGGGGAGGCATGGGAGCTGGGGAGTGGCGGGGCCAGAATTCGGACCTAGGTCTGTCTTCTTTCTTGAGAGACTGGAGTTGAGGGGGGAAAGGGTGAACAGGCCTGGGGGAAGGGTGCTCCGGAGGGGTGCACTTCAAGGATACCAAGATCGGGAGGTGACGTGGCCCATTTGCCACTGGCTTGGGCTATGGTGAGCATGGGGACTGTGATGGCTGAGTCGGTGTGTCTGCAACCTGGGACCCAGAAGAGAAGGCGAAAGGTCAAGGCATGCTGGGATCCAAGAAGATGAAGGGGAGGAGGGAGTTGAGGATGCTGATGGGGGTGGGGGGCAGCATTGGAGCCGGATTAGATGACCATCCATGATCGTAGTGGGACTTGGCTCTTTGGAGAGGAGCAGGACTTTGTTATATGGCTGGCTAGGAAAGTTTTGTATGTTCGTTCAAAAATTCAAACATTCAGAAACCCAGAAGGTGGAGTGAGTGAAGACACAGACTTGCTGTATCTTCAGCATTCTTCATAGTGTCTGGCACATAGTAGGTCCTCAATAAATAGCTGTTGAGCTACCGAATCAATGTAAAGATCCTATGGGATCCCACTACCCGGCTGGGATAATACTCTCCAGCATTAGGTTATTTTTTGTCCAGGTTTTTCTTTTGGTCATGTTCTTTTTGTAAAGACAAAAACATAAGCCCACGATACATACTGCATTGCAACTTGCTTCTTTTTCCATTTAAAGCTATGGCCTACCGCGGATACTTGAGAATGGGTGATTGCTTTCCCCTGTGTACAGGGAGGTTCTTTCACTTGTAACAGACTTGCAGAAGTGGACATAAACAGCTGAGCTTGCAAAGAATAATATAAAAATCCTTTCATTCCTTTATCAAAGAAGCCTGGGAAGCTGGCGGGGGTGGTGACAGCTGACTTGCAAGTTTCCCTGGACACAATGGCCATCTTCCCAGTGGACCTGGGAACCCTTCCCCAACCGGACAGCTAGTGACAGGCACTGGATATGAGCCCTTCCCTTCTGTGGTGCTGGGGACATCACCTAGCCTGCCCTTGAGTGGTTCCCTCTACTTTTAGACCACCTGGATTCTTTTGGGGATTTGGCCCAGGATTTACAAGCGTGCTTGTTATGTGGGTCTCACTGCCTAGGATGCCATTCTAAAAGCTGGGTAGGAGCTTTGAGGGATGGAGTCTGGGATTTACCATGTGAAGCTGGGACACTGCCATGGCTCCGAGAGGAAGGCCAGAAAGGGTTCTTTCTGATTCCACCCTCCTGGGCGAAGGAAGCCACCGTGCGGGGGCCACATGGAGACGTGGCAGGTTCCAGACAGGCCACTACAGTGTAAGAGACAGCTGCATGTCAGCACGTTCTCGGGGCTGGTGGGACAGTAGTGACCATTTATTAAAGGCTTATTGTGACACAGGG